CCAAGTCATAACCAGAGGAAACTCACGTAGCTCAGTGGTTGCACAGTTTATACTTAACCAGTGAGTAAGTTAAGCATTTTGGTCTTGAATTCCAGTGTGGCCTGAGGAATGTGAGCTGTCTCTTTCTCCAAATCTGTGGCGTACATACAACCCAGTTAAATCCCTGACACGGAGCTTACTCATTATTTCCCATGGATTTGGAGAATGTTTCGTGTGTGGCGATTTGGTAAGCTCATCATTGTTCGGCTTCTTCCAAGCTGTCCTTTGTTAAGTTCCGTATCAGTGAGTTGTTCCACTTCTTCTGTCTGGGAAAAGTCTTTCTCAGACAGCCATCTGTAATACTGGCTATTCTTTTTCTTTTCATAAATACAGTCTAATTAGTAATAAACACCACAGGGGTACATCCACACTCAGCAGCTTCAAACAAAGGAAGACGATAACGAGCTTCCCTGGACTTGCTGTCCACTCCAGATACCACAGAGCCGTTTCAAGGACTCAGCCCTTAACTTCTTGGTTATGAAGTTCTCTTCAACCATAGAACCACTACATCCTTTGAAAAGTAACCTAATAGCTTCCAAGATCTCCAGACATTTATTGAACCTACTGGAAACAATGTTTGCCATATTACTAACCAAAAAAGACTCCCTATTTCAAAAGGGAGACTGATGGAAATCATGGTGTTTCCTCCAGAACAAATCTTTCATACTAGCAAGAAAGAAACAGGAGATATCCCATCTTGAAATGTGGCCTTCAGTTAAACACAATGAGGAATATGCCCAGCACTTCTATCTGTTACTTGTTGACATAATACAAAGCTCTTTCAGAACCTTATACCTCTATCTTGTCTATAACTAGTCTAATGAATAAAATTTCAGCTGGTAGAATAAGAATGAAATTCATTACTTTTAAATTGTAGTAAAATATTCATAGCATACAACTCTTCTTTTTCTTCTATGAGTTTGACTCCTCTAGATAACCCAGGTAAGTGAATAGTGCAATATTAGTCTTTTTTGACAGGTTTATGCTTAGCATAATATAAGTTTTCACCCATATTACACCATGTGACATGGTTCCCGTTCATTTTAAGGATGAATAACATTTTTTTGTAGACCGTATGTTTTTGGTTTGTATATTTATTGGTGATAACATAAGTTGTAGGAAAACTTGTTTTTTCAATTATCTTAATGTTGTGGACTTGCAAATGAGATTTTCTGCTATATAGTGAAAACACCTAGAGGTTTTAAAATATGTGAAGTCCTACAATCAAACCCAGAACTACTCAATAGGAATTCACAAAATAGATAGAATCAACCATCTGTATTTTCAGAAAACCAGTGTGGCATGTCCTAGCATGGTTTCCAGGGAACTGAACCTGCCTGGGGTGGTGAGAGAATGAAAAAAAAGACAGACACACACAAAAATGTGGGATCAGATGATCTCGGTTTTCGGCTTGAGAGACCATGGCGGCCTAGAATTTCAGCATGTTTATTACATAGAGTTGAACAGGGAAGAGGAGTTATTACATACAACTGAACCACAAGGTGAGGTTACCACATACAGATAAAGGAGACAGATTTAGCTAATCTCAGTAGGACCAGTCTCTGTTGGCGAGCAGTCTTCAGGCCATAAACATCCAGGTGAGAAAGCTAGGGTGGACATTTCTGCACATACTGTCAGCATCCAAGCATGGAGCAGAAAAGAAGGCTTTGCTCTTTCCCTCCGGAGTCTCACTCTGGGGAGAAGACTTTGCCATTTTCTCCGTAGGTCTGAGGCTCTGGGGTCCTTGCCATAGACATGCCCATGGCAATAACACACATTTATTCAGGGCTTCACTCACCCCAGGGCTTCTTCTGATCCACACATCAGTGGCCCCAGTCCATGCTAACAAGCAACTGTATTGCTGTCATTCTCTTTAACAGGGGTACTATTAGTGAGATGATCTAAGCACTAGTCACTGCAACACCAATATGTGCTTGACCATGTGTCTTGGTTAGGGTTTCTATTGCTATAAAGAGATACTAGTGTTAGAATTCTGCCCTCACTCCAACTACATGACTGCACATGCGCACTTCAGGAGTTAAGCAAAAGGTCTTGCATCTTACATCATCAGTGTGCTCAGCGTGGCCATGCAATCAGTGCATGCATGGTATAGCACTGTACCGGGAGGCTTGGGAGCCCTTAAAAAGCCAGAGGCAGACCCCACCTTCTCTCTGCTCTCTCTCTGCTCTGCTCCACTTCCTTTCCCTCCACCTTACCATCTTTCTCTCTCTCCTTCCCAAGCCTGGTCCTCTCTCTTCCCCCTCTTTCCTCCAAATAAAGCACTGAATACTGATACTGGGTTCTGTCGTGACAGTAACTAGCACTATAAACAGCGCCATTTATCTTTCAACTAGACCACAATTCTTAGAAAGAAAACATTTAATTGGGGTGGCTTGCTTACAGTTTAAAAGGTTCAGTCCATTATTATCATGACAGGGAGTGTGGTGGCATACAGGCAGACATGGTGCTGGAGAAGTAGCTGAGGGTCCTACATCTTCCAGGCAACAGGAAGTCAACTGAGACACTGAGTGGTATCCTGAACATAGGAAACCTCAAAGTTCACCCTCACAGTGACACACTTCCTCCAACAAGGTCATGCCCACTCCAACAAAGCCACACCTCCTAACAGTGACACTCCCTGTGAGATTATGGGGTCCAATTACATTCAAACTACTGCACCATGGGAAATTGCATCATAAAGAATGAAACAGGGCATGAAGGAGGGGCAGGTGTGAAGAAAGTGTGTGGCTGGGTGGTGGTGGCACACACCTTTAATCCCAGCACTTGGGAGGCAGAGGCAGCGGATCTCTGTGAGTTCGAGGCCAGCCTGGTCTACAGAGTGAGATCCAGGACAGGCACCAAAGCTACACAGAGAAACCCTGTCTCAAAAAAAAAAAAAAGAAAGAAAGAAAGAAAGTGGGTGAGTGACTGGCTCTGAAGCACTGTAGTTTGTAACACGAATCTTAAATGGTCTAATTAATAAAAAAAAAGAAAAAACCTAGGACCAGATATTGGGGTGAACACTGAAAGATCAGAGAGACAGAACAAGCCACAGCCAAACTCACCCCACCTCAGCTGCTCCTGTTTCCACAAATCCTCAGACTAAAAGCCTTGAGTCCTCACTGGAATGGATCTCAGCTGAACTGCCTAAAAGCCTCTAGTTCCTGGCCCTCACCCCTTATATACCTTTCTGCTTCCTACCATCACTTCCTGGGATTAAAGGTGTGTGCCACCATGCCTGGCTCTGTTCCCAGTGTGGCCTTGAACTCACAGAGATCCAGATGGATCACTGACTCCCAAGTGATAGGATTCTACCACTGTCTGGCCTCTGTGTCTAATCTAGTGGCTGTTCTGTTCTCTGACCCCCAGATAAGTTTATTAGGGTACACAATATATCAACCACAGTAGCTGACGTAGGAATGAGAAAACTCTGGTGGCAGCAGATGTTAGAACACCATGGCTTCACAGCCTTTTGTATGTTTGCTTATGTTACTAAAGCCCCAAGTGTTGCTGGGAGGTGAGAATTGCTCCTTAATGCCTCTGGAAAGATTTTGAGCATAAAATAAAAATAGAATTAGCACAACCAAGTAAAAACAACCATGAAGGCCTTGTGTCCGCAACCTCTCTGCTAAATAATGTATTCTTCAAAGATAAATGGAGACAAGTTTCCCATAGAGCTTCACACAACACAAGGGTAATGGATAGTCATAGCAAAGACTAAGATGGTGCTCAGGGACAATTAGAGAAAACTAGCCACCTCAAAAGGATGTCAAAGACAAGGATTTTATAACCAGAGGCCCCAAAGCATAACAAACAGAACATAAGTGTTAATTACAGTACTACTCCATGACAAATTAACCCAACACATTTCAGGGGATCAAGAAAGTGAATTATTTCTCTGGCCCGTGATTCTGAAACAGAAGTTTCTAATTAACGAACATTTCTCCTTCACCCGGTCATTCAGGGAACCGTAACCCACTATGGTCACATTACAGCTTCCCCAGCATGAGGAGCACGGGAGGAGCATTTTTCACGAGCAAGGTCTGGAGCTGACTTGGATTGGTTCTTTGAATATTCCATTGGCAAACGTTGATTGGATGGAAATATCCAACTTCAAAGAAGACTGAAAAAAAAAAACATTGTCTCCTTGGTCTAAGAGAAAGAAAAAAGAGATTAGAGAACAAGTAGTCAGTGTCCAGGAGACTGAGTTAAAAGTTGAAAAAAAAATACAAATATAATAACTCAGAGACAATAAATGAGTGAGATAAGGAAGGATGGGATGGACATAACTGCCACAAAGAGTGAAGATAAAACAGTGGGTTGTAATTGGGATGCCTAATATTTCCCATGACACTGGAGAAACGCCAAGGGGCCAGGAAGCAATGAATGACATAGGGATCAAGAACTGAGGAAGGATAACGTGTGGGGATGGAAAGGCTGTATGGGGTTTGTGAGGATTTGTGGGTGTGGGATGTATGTACTGTGCTATGTGTATGTGTGTTTCTGTAGGTGTCTGTGCATGCAGTATGTATTTGTGTGTGTACTATGGCCACTTGTGAGGATTTGTAGGGGTGTGTGTGTGTGTGTGTGTGTGTGTGTGTGTGTGTGTGTGTGTGTGTTATGAGTATGGTGTGGTATGGTGTGTCTAGTGTATAGGCAGGTGTACATAGATGTGGGAGCCCATGTTTGTCTATGGGAGCTGGGGAAGGATGTTGGGTGTCTTGTTCTGTGATGCTTCAGCTCTTTACCTTGAAACAAGGTCTCATTGAACCTGAAGCTATGCAGGTGGCCAGCAAGTCCAGTGATCTTTGAGGAAAGATACTTTTATCTGTTGCTTGAAAATGTTTCAAAAGTTGAAACAAAATCAAATATAGAAAATAACAAATGCTTAACTAAATTGAAGTAAAAGATAAAAGTAGGCAACCACAGCCAAAAGCAAATGAAATAAAAAGATACAGATGCCTAATATGTCATAAATTTATTTTAGAATCTGAAGGAAAAATATAAATAAGATCTTCAAGATTACATACAAGCAGGCAAATAAACAATAGATTTTAAACAAAGCAAAAATATCATTCTAACAAACACTTTTCCTCTCCAACATGATATGGGAACCAATATTGTAGTAACAATTTATTTGAAGAAAAATTTTATGAGAAGAATCAACTATGGGGCTGGAGGGATAGGTCAGCAGTTAAGAGCACCTTCTGCTCTTCCAGAGGACCTGGTTCAGTTCCTAGACTCCACATGATGGTTCACAACCACCTATAACTCTAGTTCCAGGGGATCTGATGACTCCATCTGGTCTCTTTAGGTGCCTGCATGCATGTGGTGTACAGACATATACTTAGGCACACATATGTAAGCATAAACATAAAAATTGAATGATTTAAAAAAGAACCAACTTGTCACTCATATGAATCAAAAGAATAAAATCCTCAGATATGCCAGAATTCAGAAATGTTTGACTCATATAGAACCTCACAAAAGGAAATAAAGAGCAAAAATGAAATTTCTCTATGTATTATATAGCTTAATGATCTGCCAAGATGGCAGAGCTTACTAAAACATTGTTATCAGAGCTAACAAGCCATGGTACTCGTCATCACCATCACCATCACCATCATCATCACTATCATCATCATCATCATCATCATCATCACCATCATCATCATCATCATCATCACCATCATCACCATCATCACCACCACCATCACCATCACAACAACTATCATCATCATCACTGTCAAAACCATCATCATCATAAGGGATGAAAGGAATTTTTAGGATAATGAATATTGCAGTAATACTTTCAAAACTAAGTAGTTATATCCAAATTTACCATATTACATACAATAAAAGTGTATAGATTTTAGTATGTTAGTCATATGTTAATGCCACAATCTTTCAAAAAAAGAAAGAAAGATAGAAAGAAAAAAAGAAACCTCCAAAATTTCTTTTTTTGGGGGGAGGTTAATTTTAAAAAATTTTGTTTTCATTTTACATACCAACCCCTGTTCCCTCACTCTCCTTCTCCCACTCCCACCCTCACCTCTCCCCATCCCACCCTCATCCCCTCCTCATGGGGGTAAGGCCTCCCTTGGATAGTCAACACAGGCCGGCATACCAAGTTGGGGTAGGACTAAGCCCATCTCCCCTGCATCAAGGCTGAGTAAGGCATCACACCATAGGGAATGGGCTCTAAAAAGCCAGTTCATGTACCTGGGATAAGTCCTGGTCCCATTGCCAGGGGACTCAAAAACACATCAAGCCACGCAACTGTCACTCATATTCAGAGGGCCTAGTGTGGTCCCATGCAGGCTCCCCAGCTGTCAGTCCAGAGCCCTTGAGCTCCCAGTAGCTTGGGTCAGCTATCCTGTGGTTTTTCCCATCATGATCCTGACCTGCCTTGCTCCTGTAATCCCTCCTCCCTTTCTTCAACTGAACTCCAGGAGCTTGGCCAAGTACCTGACCGTGGGTCTCCTCTGCATCTGCTTCCATCAGTCACTGGATGTAGGTTTTGGTGATGACAATTAGGGTAGACACCAATCTGAGTACAAGGGAAGGCTAGTTCAAGCACCCTGTCCACCATTGCTATGAGTCTTAGCTGGGGACATTCTTGTGAGTTCCTAGGGATTTCCCTAGCTCCAAATTTCTCCCTAACCCCTTAATGGTTCACTCTGTCAAGATATCTCTTTCATTGCTCTCCCTCTCCATCCTTCCTCCAACTCAGTCATCTGGAACCCTCATGTTCCACACCCCATCCCCTCCCCTTTACTCCCCACTTCCAGTTTACCCAGTAGATTGCCCCTTCCTGGGGCAATCTATGTGTGGCCCTCTTATGCTCCTCCTCTTTACCTAGTTTCTCTGGGGTTGTGGGTTGTAGCCTAGTTATCCTTTGTTTTGCATCCAATATTCACTTATGAGTGAGTACATGTGGTGATATATTGTGTCCCCCAATATATTATTCACCCTAACAAACTTATCTGGGGATCAGAGAACAGAGACAGCCACTAAATTAGACATAGAGGCCAGGCAGTGGTGGCACACACCTTTAATCCTGTCACTTGGGAGGCAAAGATCTGTCTGGATCACTGTGAGTTCAAGGCCACACTGGGAACAGAGCCAGGCGTAGTGGCACACATCTTTAATCCCAGCACTTGAAATCTCATGTCTTTGCTTGGGAAGGATGCACACCTTTAATCCCAGGAAGTGATGGTAGGAAGCAGAAAGGTATACAAGGTGTGAGGACCAGGAACTAGAGGCTTTTAGGCAGTTCAGTTGAGATCCATTCCAGTGAGGACTGAGAGGCTTTCAGTCTAAGGAAACGAGATCAGCTAAGGAGTTGGTGAGACGATGTTGACTGTGACTTGTTCTGCTTCTCTGATCTTTCAGCTTTCACCCCAATACCTGGCTCCAGGTTTTGTTTTTTGTTTTATTAATAAGACCATTTAGTAATTTGTCTTATGTTTGGCACCTGTGTTTGTCTTTCTGGGCCTGGGTTACCTCACTAGATTTTTTTCTAGTTCATCCATTTGCCTACAAATTTCATGATGATGTTGTTTTGTTTTGTTTTGTTTTTCAAGGACACATGCTCACCTATGTTCATGGCAGCATTATTCGTAATAGCCAGAATCCGGAAACAACCTAGATGCCCCTCAACCTAGATGCCCCTCAACCAAAAAATGGATTAAGAAGCTAGACATCAAAATATCAAATAATCCAATTAAAAAATGGGGTGCAGATCTAAACAGAGAATTCTCAACAGGGAAAATCTCAAAGGGCTGAAAGACATTTAAGGAAGTGTTCAATATCCTTAGCCATCAGGGAAACACAAATCAAAATTTCTTACTTTACAGCATGTTCTATATAAAAGGGAATAAATCAAAGTTCTCAAGAGAAGGAGACTTGTGGATAAAAAACGTGTTTAAAAATAAACATTGACACATGAAACAGAAGAATTTCAATGTGAATGTTTGTAATATTGAATGCAAATGTCAAAAATAATTACTAACCTTTAGTAGTAGAGAATGATCACAAGAATAAGAAACAAATTGGCATACAAATATGTATGTTTGGTCTTGACATTAGGAAAAAAGTCTGAGAATTATAGACTGAGAGGTCTTTATTAAATTAATGTTTTTATGATTGAAACACTTGTAACCTTATGAAACACAATCTCTTGTCCTGACTCATGTACATTAGGCAATGATCAACCACCTGATACATTGAATCTTATCGTTTTTCTTACAGTGGTTCTGCTCACAACCCTCTCTTCTATAAGATTCTCACTGCACTACTACTAATTATATTCACCCTATTATGCTATACACCAGACCTCACTCAGCCTAACTAATGCAGCATAGTATCCATTGACCAACTTCTCCTAGCTCTCCTCTATCCAATTTACCACAGTGTCTGGTTGAAGTTTAACGTTAACCACAAGAATATTTACTAATGGGACATGAATTTGGGTTCTAAGGGAATCCAGATGGCAATCCCCAACCATCATAGCTCAGTTTCTCACTAACGGCTGCAGGAGAAAAATGAAAATTCTCAATAAAATAGAATAGACTGGATTACATCAACAACGTGAGAAGAATCGGCACTAGCTAAAGGCAGTTCATAAAGCTGTACTTTCTGACATGCTAACTTGGCTCCATGCAACAGAATTGCTAACCATTAGTAGAAAGAATACCAGAATTGACACCAACCAGAAAACGAAACTATCTGTCTCAACCATAGCAAAATAATTTCTAAATCTGAGTATCCTTTGCCTAACTCCAGATACTGCGTACTCCTGAGAGACTACCAGGCACAAAGCAAAAGTCAGTTGCTGGGCACAGCACATCTTTATGAGCAAATAAAATTCTTATGTGGAGTATTTGGTAGGGAAGAACAAAGGAACTATAAATCAGCATCTACTACTTTAAGTTCTCATGAACAAGAAATTAGTTAGTATGACAAAGAGGACAAAAACCCAGAAGAGAATAGAACACCCAAGTACTCCATAAAACAGGTAATATGGAGCAATTGTTCACTGGGGACTAGCCTGCCCTGAAACAATGAGAAGCAGTGGGGTGACTTTGTTACCTAATTGGCTTCACCAAGTTATACAACACAAGAGAAGGAATATACTAAGACAAAGCACCTTACGGTGTTAGCCATTTCAGCAAGGTGCTTTTGGTCTAACGTTTTAACACGTAAAAGTCACTGAGAAGGTAGCTACTGCTGTCTAATTCAAAGTGCGTTAACACTGAGTTGATAGTATAGAAATCAACTTTAATTATGCAATTGCACACACACACACAAATGAAGGTTCATTAAGGAAAAAATGTGACATGTAAATTATGAAAACAATAGTATAACATGAGGGAGAATATAAGATGTAAAATTCTAGAGTTTTTTTTTTAATCTGCAAACAAAATTAAATTATCAACCTAAAATGGGCTTTTGTAGCTATGAAATGTTTTATCTAAAACTCATGGAAGCCACTGAGTGAGACCAGAAAAATAAAGAGAAAAGAACTGAAAGCATACCACTACAAAAAAAGAAAGAAAGAATGAAGGGAGGGAGAGGGAGAAGAAAAATCATAAAGACAGGAACTAAAAAAATGGCATCTCTATCAGTAACTACTTTAAATATGAGTGGGTCAAGGCCTCAAGGAAATATATTATTTTACAAGTTTCTTTTTAAAATATGTTTTTAATTGAAATAGAATTATATTACTTTCCCTCTCTCCACCCTTCCCATGTCCCTCCCCTTTCAAATTAATATCCTTTTTTATTTATTATTTTACATACATACATATGTATGTGTATGCACACATACATATAAATACAACCTGCTGAATCCATTTTGTTGTCTCTGTATGTATGATTTCAAGGCTGGTCACTGCACTGAACAACCAATAAAGGGATTCATCCCTGGGAGAGGCTATTTTCCCTTCTCTCGGAAGTCAAGAGTTGCCTGTAGTTCTTTGTCCAGGGGTAGGACCCTGTGAAATTTTCCCCACTCCACATTAGCACTGCAACTGTTATTTCCACATTCCAGTATTCCACATTGATAATTCCATTGTTCTGGTCTTGTCTATGCAGCCATTTCGAGGAGAGATGTTTCACAGCAGGCTTCCTGGAATTCTGACTCTTTCAATCTTTCAGTCTCTTCTCCTACGATGTCCCCTGAGCCATAGATGAAGGAGCTACAGTGTAGCTAGATCTGTGGAGGCTGGGCTTCCCACAGTCCTTTGATCTCTGCATTATGTCCCATTGTGCTTTTCTGTGATAGTCTCTGTTGGCTGTAAAGAAGAGCTTTTCTGATGAGAGGTAGTAGCTACATTTATCTGTGCGTATCAGATTTAGAATATAGTAAGGAATTATACTGGTCTAGCAAAGTGGTGGCAATAGATTCTTCTCTAAGATCCATGACCTTACTAGCCCTGGAAAACTGACTAGGTTTTCAGTACCAGGAATGATAGCTCTTCTGTTGAATGGACCTTAAGTCCATTTACACAGTTAATAGTCACCACTGACATGTGAATGCCACTTATTGCACCTACATATCTTGTCATGTTGGTCATTGTCACAGTTCACAGATGTTGTGGCTGGGTAGGATTGTCTAACGGCTTCCTTCCCTTGGAAGTGTCATTGTGTTTTTAGAACCATGGAAGCCAGACCTTAGGAAAGAGGCTTTCAGCTCAGAGAGAGAGTTCAAATCATCTGAGTCCTGTGTCTTAAATATGTTTTCAGGAGCCCACCCTTGGCCTCTATAATATGTGTTGTTTTAGGAGTCGCTTGGTCTACCCTGACCATTTCAAAGGATGTTTCTTGTGCCTGGTACTGGGGTTTTGTTCATTTAAGGTTCTTGTGGGGAGCATTTTCAGCTTAAGTAGCTTAACTTCCATATGGTGTGTGTGTGTGTGTGTGTGTGTGTGTGTGTGTGTGTGTGTGTGTGTGTACATTTATGTGTTGTATATAACTTTAGGTAAATATAAAATAACCTGATCCTTTGAGGCTTACCAAACAGCATTGGTATTATTCATCTCTCATCCCTCATTCTCCTTCTATATTGGCCTCCATCCTGCCATCCAGGATGGATCCTCCTCTCCATTATTTAATTTCTCTCTTCATATCACCTGTATCCTGCCACTCACCTCCAAGGTACTCCCCCACCTATGGTCTCTTTACACTTCCTGGGTTCTATGGTGACTCTGTGTTACATACTCACATCTGAGGATTTGGAGCTAAAAACCAGATGAGAGAATATACAGTATCTGTCTTTCCAAATCTGAGTTTCCTTATTCAATATAATCTTTTCTAGGTCCATTCATTTACCTGCAAATTTCATGAATTTGTTTTTGTTTATAGCTCAGTAGTATTCTGTTGTGTATATATATCATATTTTCCTTATCCATCCATCAATAGAAAGGACATTTATATTGTTCCAATTTCCTTCATATTGTGAGTAGGGTAGCTAGGAACCTTGCTGAGCAAGTATCTGTGGAATAGAGTATCAAGTTCTTTGGGTATATATATGCCAAGGAGTTATATAGCTGGGTCATGCAGTAGATTTATTTTTAGACTTTTGAGGATTCTCCATACTGATTTCCAGAGTTGCTACACCAATTTGCATTCATACAATGGATAATGAGGGTTCCCCTTTTCCACAAACATCACAAGCATTCATTGTTCATTGATTTATAGATTTTATCCATTCTGATTGCGGTGAGATGAAATCTCAATGCAATTTTAATTTGCATTTCCTTAATTGTTAAGAATGATGAATGTGTTTTGAGGTATTTCTTAAGTTGTTTTTGTTTTGTTTTGTTTTTTGTTTTTTCAAGACAGGGTTTCTCCTTGTAGTTTTGGTGCCTGTCCTGGATCTCGCTCTGTAGACCAGGCTGGCCTTGAACTCACAGAGATCCACCTGGCTCTGTCTCCCGAGTGCTGGGATTAAAGGAGTGCACCACTGCCGCCCAGCCTCTTAAGCATTTTTATTCCTTCTATTGAGAACTTGGTTTAGATACCTAGCCCATTATTTAATTGGGTCATTTGTTTCCTTGACCCTGATTTGTGGGTTCTTTGTATATTCTGGATATTAACCCTCTGTCAGATGTCCAGCTGGCAAAGATTCTGTCCCACTCCATGCATGAGTTTCTTCACTCAAATGATTGTTTCCTTAGCTTTACAGACACTTTTTAGTTTTATAAGGTCTCACTTGTCAATTGTTGACCTTAATAGGAATTAGCTAGTGGAGTCCTGGTCAGAAAGTCCTTTCCTATACTTATATAGGATACTGCCTATGTTTTCTTCTAGTGGGTTTAGTGTTTCAAGTTTCAAACTGAGGTCTTTGTTACAGTTGGGTCTAATTTTTATACAGGGTGATAGATATGGGTCTAATTTCATTCTTCTGCCTGAGAACATCTAGTTTCCCAGCACCATTTGTTGAAGCTGCTGTCTTTTCTCCACTGTATAATTTGGTCTCTTCATCAAAAATATATGCTTGGTTCTTCTGTCTTATTCCATTGACCTATACACCTATTTTTGTACCAGTCTAATATTCCTCTTTTACTATTGCTCTGTAATATATCTTGAAATCTAGAATAGCATTCCTCCAACATTCTTTTTGCTCAGGATTGCTTTAACTAACCAGGTTACTTTTTGCCAGATGATGACTTTATAAGACATGAAGATTAAAGGTCAATACCACAAATGAACACAAATGGAAGTATTCCCCAAAAAAAATGAGTAAGCCAAATTCAACAACAATATATTTATAAGATCATACACCATAAGGAAGCATGATTTATCCCTCAGGTGCAAGGATGGCTCAATATACATATCAATTAATCCTGTGGGCTAGGGCATAGTGCAGTCATTGATACTTGTCTGTCAGGTCCAAGGCTCTAAATCCAACCTCCAGCACTATGAAGTAATATAAATCAATAAACATGGCAGACAGTATTAACAAGAGGAAGAACAGAAACTACCACACTGTCATCTTGAATAAAGCATGCAAGGAATATGACCAAATTCAACATCCCTTCAGAGCAACAAATCTCAAAAAATTAAGGGCTGACAGAAGAGATGTACACTCACAAAATGATTGTAGCCACATGTAAGGCATCCATGGCTCACATCCTAAGTGATGGGGAATGGTTGAAAGTCTTCCCTCCAGGACCACATAGATAGCGATGCCCAATGCTGTTCCTTCTCAGCAGCATACCAGAAGTTCCAGCCAGAGCACTTATCCCCAAAAATGAAATTAAAGGTGTTTATTTTGGGAAGGAAAAATAAAATAAAATGGTCTCTTTGCTGACAGCATAATCTTATACACAGAAGCCTCTAAAGATTTTAAAAAAAAAATCTGTGACCAGATTAGTGCCTGGCCCAATTGTCATCAGAGAGGCACCTTACAGCAACTGATGGAGGCAAATGCAGAGACCCAAAGACACACATTAGGCCGAGTTCATGAATCCTTGGGAGGAGGAGAAAGGGAGAAAGTCGAATAGGAGCCAGAGGGGTTAAGGACACCATAGGAAGGCTCATACAATCAACTGACCTGGGCTCATAGGGCCTTAAGAACTGGAAACCAGGGAGCCTGCATGGGACTGACCTAGGCCCTCTGCATGTACATTTCAGTTTAGCTTTGTCCTCTTGTGGGGCTCCTAACAGTGGGAGCAGGGGTTGTCTCTGACTCCTTTACTGGCTTTTGGGAACCTACTCCTCATACTGGGTCACCTTGCCCAGCCTTAATACATGGCAGGAGGGTCCAGGAAAGGAGGATGGGAGGAGGCTGTGGCCAGGATGTAAAATAAAGAGATGAATAAAAATAAATAAATAAAAATTTTAAAAAACCCAGTAGAGCTAAGGATAGAGGTAAATTGCAGGGTATAAAATCAACTTACAAGAAGTTTTATTTCCATACACTACCATTAACTGTCTGAAAAAGAAGTTAGGGCCAGCACCATGGCACAGGGGCAAAAGTGCATGTAGCACAGGCCTGACTAGCTTTAATTCCCAAACCCAAGTGGAAGGCAAAACCTAGGGTGGTCTTCTCACCTTCACATGTGCACGATGGTGTGTGCACATGTGCACACACACACACACACACACACACACACAAATAATAAATTAACTTTTAAATACTTCATATTTTAAAAGAAATTAATAAAACATTCCCACTTACAATAGCATCCAAAAATTAAATGCTGGGTATAAACTTAATTAAGGAAGTAAACGATTTTTAAACTGAAAAACTAGAAAACACTGGTGAGAGCAATTTAAGGTGACAAATATAAATGCATTGATACACCATGCTCATGGGTTAAAATAATTAATATTGGTAAAATATCCATGCTAATCAAGGCAATCTGCAAAAGTACTGCCATTTGCACCAAAATAAGGGAACAAAAGCAATTCTAAGATTCATATGAAACCATAGGAAGATTCAAATAAACAAGATAAGGTTGCATAAGAAAAAAATCGCTACAGCCTTCTCATAAATTATACTACAAACAACCCAGGAAATCCTGCATTGTACTTTAGAAAAGACACATAGGCCAGTGGAATTGAAATGGAACCCTGAAATAAGGCAATACATGTATGGTTAGCCAATTTTTGACAAAAGAACAAAAAACTGACAATGGCAAAAAGAGTCTCTTCAATAAATGTTGTTGGCAGACCTGGATAACCACATGCTAACAAGGAAAAATATGGGCACATATACCATGCAAAAAAAATCAAGCCAAAATGAAGTAAAGTTGAAATGTAAAACTAGAAACCATAAAATCCCTAGAAGAAAACAGGGAAGATGTTCCTTCACATTGGTCTTAGCAGTAACTGGGAGCGGAGGACCATAACACCAAAAAAAGAGGTAACAATGGGAAAATGGGGAGTGAGAAAACCGTGTGTGTGTGTGTGTGTGTGTGTGTGTGTGTGTGTGTGTGTGTGTGTGTGTGTACTAACCTGGCTCACAAAATGCAATCAACAAGGAGGGAGCACATCAGGAGAAAAAAAATTTAAAAAGACCCTACAGCATGGGGAAAGGCTATGTTTCCCTTTAAAAAACAAGAGCGGATAATGAGAATAAGTATGTCCAGAGAACACTGGGCATTAATAAGTTACAGCTTGAGACTGGCAGTTCAGTCTCCAAGACAGTGTTACTCTTCTTGCCCGGACCATAAAGCAGCTGTACCAAACTAGATAGCCTTAATGGCTTAGAACAATGGACATCCTTTCTCTCGGGACTATGGAGGTCAGGAGTCCAGAGCTAAGGTCTCCACTGAACTGCATCACCAGCAGAGGAAACTATTCATTGCCTCTTGCTCATTGATGGTAGCTGCCGACAAGCCTGAGCAGGAGCAGGTAAGTGGCTGTATCCTCCAAACTTGGCAAATCTCTCATCTTTATCTTCAATGTTCATCAAGACTCCTGCTGCTGCTCTTAGAATACACCTAGAAAAATCTGGATTACTTCTTCCTTTTCAGATTCTCAACCGAATCTCACATTCATATGCTTTGCCATTTAAGATATGACCATTTCTGGGATTGCTCTGCAGACATATCCTTTACGATACAATTCTCCCATTGTACAGCTTTCGCTGGCTTAGGGGAAAAAAATCTAAAGAATGACAAACTTACTTCCAGATGTTAAGGGAAGAGCCCATGAATGAAAAAATAAAGGTATAAAAATATTGGTTAAAGTATTAACAGATAAAATATTTTCTAAATATTTTAAATACTTTCTTGTTTAGCTAACTATAGAATGATAATTCTCAATTAGGGTATTGAAAAAAATTACACTGCACTCACATCATCTTAGAAAGGCTAGCCATGGGGTGGTACATTTAGAACAAGGAGATGAGCTATGGTCCGTGTGAAGAGGCTCTGTCCCAGGGCTAGCTCCCTTTATGGTATGTGATATAAGGCACAGGAGGAAAAGTGCCAGAAGTTTCCACCTTTTGATTTTTGAAGTGTGCATATTAATGTACAAACTGGTCAAAATCATTAGATTATTTTTCAAAAAACTAAAAGAGAAAATATTCAGAGGGGAAGCCTTATATCTATACCTTATGTCACAAACAAAAGGTTTAAATGTACCAAACCTATAAGCATAAAAGCTTAAGCTATGAAACATTTAAAAATGACTGGTGAGCTGACGGACTTCACTGTGCAGAGAAACATCTGTACCATAGGCATGTGGAGAATCCTTGGAGCATTTATGTAATTGTTATTTATGTAATGGCTTCTAGAAGAGCTTCAGGTCCAACCCCAAAAGCATGAACATCCCCTGATATCACTTAATGTGTCTTACATCTGGACTTTCAGTAATGTGCATGCTCCAGTAATTGAAACAGCATGGTACTGGCCTACAAAGGAAGACAGCAGACTAACATGAGAGAGAGCCTAGAAATAAGCTGCCAATTTTGTACAGTCAACTGATTTTCAACAAATATGCAAAGAACACAAGGTAAAGAAGGGACATACTTCTCAGTAAGCAGTGCTGTGAAAGTGGATATCTTCATTCAGAAGAGGAAAGGCCCCTCTCATCAGATACAATAATCAACTCTAAAAAGACTAAAGACTTAAAGGTAAAACTTGAACCTATGAAACTCCTGGAGGAAAGCATATGGAAAACGCTTTAGAATATTGAAATTGGCAAGGAAAGAAAATGAAGGCAAACAAGAACAGCATACATTAAATCATAAAGGAAACAAGAGTCAAAGCAAAGAAATGAAGGGTTAAAATCCAGAACTCCGCAAAGTTGAGAGCAGTCAACAAATAAATAAAATGACCTCTTCTAGAAATGGGCAATGGGGCTCAACTTCTCTCAACAGGAGGCATGCAAATACCAGCAGGTGTTTATGCAATATGCTCAATATCACTCAACATCAGGGCAACATCAGGGCAAAACCAGAGTAAGAAATCATTTTCAACCAGTAAGAATGGTTTTTAACCAAACAGCGACATGAAAGTGATAGCAAGTACTAGCGAGGTTGTGGAGCAAAGAGAACCCTAGCACACTGTTGGTGGGAATAGAAATTAGGGCAGTCATTATGCAAATTATCATTCAGCATCTTCATAATATGTAAAACAGAACTATTATATGGGTCTACAATCTAACTACTGAGTATAATATAAAGGAAATGAAATTAACATGTGAGTAAGACATCTGTACTCCCATGTGTATTGAACCAAGATCCACGATATTCAAGAAATAGGAATAACGAAAGTGTCCATTAACCTGTAAGTAGACAAAGAAATGTGCATATACATAATGGAATACTGTCCAGCCACAAAAGAAGTGAAATCCTGGGATTGGCAAGATGGCTCAGTTATGAAGAATGCTTAATGTTCTTGCAGAGGACTCAGGTTCGATTCCAAGCACCCACTTTGGGCAGCTCACAACCACTTGAACCTCCAGTGTAAGCCTCCTCAGGCACGTGTACACACACACAGTACACATAAATTCATTATGGCATGCATGTGTACATGCAAACTTGAAAGTAAATCCTTTTACTTTCCTGGTTTCTGTGGTAACTCTATGTTATTTACTCATATCTGAAGATTTGGAACTAGGAGCTGCAAAATATGTGGTGTTTGTCTTTCTGGGCCTGGGTTTCCTCACTTAATGTAATCTTTTTTAGGTTCAACCATTTACCTTTTCATAATCAAAGTAGAAGAGGCTGTTGATTTGAGAGGGGGTGTGGGACAAGCTGGAGAGAGGAAACATGGAAGGGGCTAGAGCATTAAAATAGTGAAATTATTAGGACTACACTTACCAAAGAAGGGAAAATATAGTTTGAACACTAGATCACTGAGACAAACTAAATAAGGAAGAAAGCAATGGAAAACTCCCATGTACATGGACCTCTAGACTTAACCTTGTAAAAATGGGACACTCCTCAAATTGAGATACAGTCCACATCAACATCACACCTAATTGCTTTGTGAAAATGGCATGCTTATCCTAAATCTGATTGTATTCTAAGAGTTCAGAAAAACTTTTTAATTTTTTAACATTTATTTTAGTGTGGGGGGGACGGCACATGCATCATGGCGATGTGGAGGTCAGAGGACAGCTTGCAGGAGTTGGCTTTCTCCTTCTACCATGGCTTTCTCTTTCTACCGTGTGGTTCCAGGAGTTGAACTGTGGCAGCAGGCACCTTTAGAAAAGACCAAAGTAGAGGTCCTTAAACATTCTTATTTCAGAACTGACTACAAAGCAACAGCATTCAAAACTTATGATGCTGGCATAAGGATTTGATACAGAACAGGGAATCTAACAGAATCCAGAAGCATGCTCATGCCCCCAGGGACAACAGCACATCACATCCACACCTTCAGAGCCAGTTGAGGTTTGACAAGAATGCCCAGGTCATTCACTAACAGAGGATACAGTGGTGGTCAAGTCAAGAGCTACACACAGTAGAGGGCAGCCTCATCCTACAGCCTCACATACTACACAAAAATTAACTCAAAGTAGATTCAAGATGGAGATATAGACGCTAACTAAAACTTTTAGAAAAAAATAGGAGAAATAGTTTAGGCTCTCATTTTGGCAAAGGATTCTTATGACATCAAAAATATAAGTAATGACTCCACCATACCGAGCCTGCTGAAAAGTTGCCAAGGCCCACCCTCCCGAGCTGAAGAAATTTATGGACAAGAAGTTATCATTGAAGTTAAATGGTGGCCGACATGTACAAGGAATACTACGGGGCTTTGATTCCTTTATGAATCTTGTGATTGATGAGTGTGTGGAAATGGCAACTAGTAGGTAACAGAATAGCATAGGCATGGTGGGCATACGAGGAAATGGCACCATCATGTTAGAAGCCTTGGAAAGAGTCTAAACAATGGCTGGTCAGCAGAGGAGTCCACATCCTTTCCCTAAGGACTGTTTGATTGGGATGTAGAATTGGGTCATGTATATTTTCATATGAAACTTTTTTGTGATACTCAGAATAAAAAAAAACATAAGTAATGAAATAAGAACATGTAAATTAGATTTTTTAAAAAAAAATCTTCTATACTTCAGAGAATATCATCGATGGAGAAGGGGCTTAGGTGCCCCCCAACACACACACAGCTATTTACTACTGATAGATTCAGGGAGAGGGGGGATCATTGCCTTTCAGTTGTGATCCCACTGGTGCCACACCAAGCTCTAATGGCTAGCCCCAATCCAATAGTCACACATATGACTCTGATTATAATAAATGAGTCGTAAGACAAAACCGAAAGTCATGAATCTGGGAAAGGGACTGACAGAGATAAGAGTGGAGTTGATAGGGATGGGAGGGAGAATAGAGAGGGTGTGGAGGTAAGAGTGATCAGAATACACTGTATATATGTGTGACATTGTCAAGCAATAAGACAAATTAAAATGCTAAAATGAAAACACTATACATGGTAAAAGACCTATCTACAGAGAACTTCTATTGTTCAATATTGGAAAACGAATGCAGAGTTAAAACAGAAGGTATAAACATATTTCTCCTATCCCTTCAGCATCTCATTCCTCTGAAGAGGCGATTTCTTAAGACAAGCTGCTCTTCCAAGTTCATAGGCCCCTTCATAACTGAGGATGCCCCAAGTCTTCATTGGTCCTTGTAGCCTCCTCTTTGCAATTGGCATGTGCTTTCAAAGCTAAAGAAATGGGAAATAATGTACAGAATCATCAGTATCTGAAGCTTCTGGCATATTTTATCTTGCAAAGGTCCTTGGAATAAATATGGTCCTCATCCCCTTTCCAAGGAGAAAAGTCCCTCCCCTTTCTCCCCCCCCACCCAACCACCCCACTCACTTGCTCTCATTCTTACTCCCACGCTCCCACTCACTCTCTCTCCCTACACACAGCTCCAGCTTCTTTCTTCTCTGATTGCTCTCTCTTGCAAAGCTACATGTTAGGCTGTGTCTTCCTTTGATTACTCATATGCATATATTTTTGTTACCTCAAATTGGTTGATCTTTTGAAGGTAGGAGTTGCTCATTTTACTTCTGCTTTAAACTCATAGTGTCAAGTACATCAAAGAAATCAAAGTCATTTTTGATTGATCAATACACTACATCTTTGGCTTTGATGTTGTCTAATACAATGTCACTGAACTGTTAGTAGTATTTGGAATAGTGCTATGAAAGAGATCACTTTTTAATTACATTATTACTATAATTATCACTTTTTAAAAAAAATGTAGAAAAGTCTAGTTTATTTAAAATAGTACTTTTTAGCAGCTGGATGGAGAAATTCATCACGGATTCTAAACTGGATTTCTATTTCTTGGCTATAACACTTTCTGGGCCACTCAGATGGAGTGTGCTATTTTGGTATGTCTTTGGATTTATATTACAAGTAGTCCACTGTTTTCAGTGCCTGGGCCATTTGAAATAAGGAAAATTCTTCTTTGGTGTTGCAGGCAGTTAGTGACTGGATGAGTCTAGTCAGCCAAGAAAGCAATGTTGGTGTTTCCATAATGCCAAGCCTAAAACAAAGATTTGAGAACCTGACCTGGAAGGTGATCCCAAAATAATAATCATCTTGAACCTCACTTGAATATAATCCAAATAGCACCATGAGATGTATCCCTAAGCCCCTATCTTTCTTTATAAACTTTCTCTTTATTTTTATCACTGTTGTTTTTAATACCCTTTGGGTTTTCATAGTTCCTAGTTTAAATTGAACGTGCCAGAAAAATACCACACATACTGCCACCGTACTTATGGTTTAACCAGAAGTAGTAAGCAGTGGAAATATCAAGACACCATAATTAAAGTCTGTCAACTTACAATTCCTGCAAGATACACACAAGGCAGAAGCCAACGTGGCCTTGACATGGATTGAGTGTAAGGCCCTTGGTTACGGTTTTGGGAAAGTACATACATATGGAGAGCGAGAATGAGAGAGAGGGTGGGAGGGAAGAGAAAAAGAAGAAATATAGATATTATTTGGGGATGATTGAAAGTTATCCATTAGCTACTACTATCAGTGCTTTTCCTTTCAAATGTTTTTGGCTAGTGTTGGGTAGAAGTGGAGTTTCATTCCCAGCCTCTGTCCAGTATCTTAAAGATTATCATAAAAAATAATTTCAAAATGTACGGTCAGGGCCTGGAGAGATGGCTCACTGGGAGCACTTGCTGCTCTTCAAAGAGGACCCAAGCTTAGTTGTCAGCGTGCACATTAAGCAGTTTCCAACTTCCTGTCCAGCTCCAGGATATCAGATGCCCTCTACTGCCCTCTGCAGGCACCTGTACTCAAGTATACAACCCTATTCTGTCTCTCTGTCTCTGTCTCTGTCTCACTCTCTCTCTCTCTCTCAAAAGCAATAAAAAAAAATCTTTTTTTTTTTTAAAAAAGGTATGATCAATGAGATAGGGCATGGGAAATTGACGACCAAGATCAATTTGGGGTTAATTAAGGGTGACTCCAGGCAGATTTTCAGTGTGTCAATAAACCAGTGTTCACTGAGCAATTACTGTGCTGTCAGCATCCTGTTGTCGTGACCCCAGTGACAGAGAATTTGGGTTCCAGAAACTACACCAGAAATGGCAGATTTAGGGAGAAAATGGCAAGTTTTATTTCAGAACTGGTATGTATTAAAATCTGTTCTACATGCAATAAGATCGTCAGAGCCTTGGGAGTGAAATGGGTGTTAAGTTACTCTATAAAGGTAGATGAAATCTAGGGGGGTGAGGTGCTGATAGAGCCACACATGGCAGTTGTTAGGTGGATGGGGTGAAACTCAGCAGTCGCAGTGAGTCCAGAGCCAGCATCACGAGTGTGTGAACTGCTGCCTCACAAGGCTCTGTGCTCATCAGGGCTCTGCTGTTCTGCTGGACTTTGGATGTCCCCCAACAGTGTATGTGTTCAAGACTTGGCCTCTGTGGTGGTGGCATTGGGAGGTGAGAGTGGGACCTTCAAGAGGACCTTAGGATATTGAACCACCCTCTTAAATAGTTAAACAGGATTATGGGACACACACACACACACACACACACACACACACACACACACACACATCTTTTTTCTTTTTGCATTCAGGCTGGTAAGGGGAGTGGTTTTGTTTGTTTTTTTTTCCCCCAGCACACACTCCTTCCATATGTTCCTGCTCCAGGGGCCAAAAGCACTGAGAATGCTTGACTACACAGACTGGAACCTAGGGAATCATGAGCCAAAGGAAGCTTTTTCTTTTTTCAAGTTTATAATTGCAAATATTTTGTGATAGTAACCGTAGGCTGACTAATACAGAAAACAGGTAGCATATTGGGATCATTGCTCTAACTATGAGCCATGGTGATATGAATTCTTTGGTTGGCATTAAGAGATTGTAAGGAAAGAAAAAGAAAAAGCCTAAAATTTAGTGAGTTGAGATTCATGGGTAACTCTGCTTGGGCCACAGGAGATTAGAATGTTATTAAGAATATGGGCAGTAAAAACTGTACTCATGCTGTTTACAATTAAATGAGGCTTCTACTTAGACTAGAGTGTCACTCTGGTCACACCATAGCAATGTTGGGCAGCACCTTGGTCATTTGTTCATGGCTAGTTTATCTGACAGCAAAAAATTTCAAGGCAGTAAAACATCTGGCTATGGCACGGATATTACTGAGTGCTGTGGCCAAATTTCCTTGTGACAATTGGGAACAAGGAACAGAGCAGGACATTTGGAAATATTGCAGACTTGCCAGCTCTTAGACAGTTGCAGGCATGGAGGGTGCAGTTGTTAGTACCAATTAACAGAAGCCAAGTGCTTCAGACAGAAAACATTAGGAAAGATATACCTGGAGGCCATCCTAGAAATTTTCCCAGCCCTAAGGTCCATCACAGGTTTCCTAGTACAGAAATACAAACCTATGCCATAGAATTTACAGGGTAGAACTGTTTGAAGAAAAAAAAAAAAAAAGCTCCAGGGTGCCCCACATGCCCAGGACTATTTGTTTCTCTATGTTTTCCTTGTTGAGTAGGCAAGACAGTTAGAGGCTACTAAGTCATCATTTAAGGAAGCCCGGCTACAAGTGACATCTCCTGTCACTATCCAAGTCACGAGTTTGCAGCCATGAAAAATGCAGGACTTTGGGGGTCTTCCAAAAGAAACTTCCAGAGGGACACACGGATGTCAGGAAATGTGCTGTCATATCAGAATCGCTGCAAGCTGCCAAAGCTGCA